CCCCAAAACCCCAAACCCCAAAACCCCAAAACCCCATCAATAACTAGATTTCATTATTATTGTTACAAAAATTTAATTAAAAATAAATGATGGATTTAGATAGCTAATTACAAAAATTGAAAAGTAAAGAAAAATCAATAGATAGTAAATCTAGAAATAACGGGTTTAGGATATAATACAAAGATCTTTCAACCAGTCAAATTTAATATTATACTCAGTTTTAAAGCCAATCAAACTTCATAAAAGAACATTTTATGAATCAAGAATCCGAAAGTTCATCTCAGCAGTAATAAATATAATAATAGCAATAAATGAATGGTCACAGAAGAAATGAAAATGGATCTTAAAGAATAACAGTTCTTTGGAAAGATTCCACTGCAAACACTAATTATATGAAAAAGATTATGAGCTTTGCCAATTCAGCTGTATCTTGCAAGAATGAAGTCTCTATAAGGAAATTAGTAACATTTTCTTCCAAAAAAAGTGATAGACCCTACTCAAGTAACGCTCCACTTTCTCATTGAACATCTGAAAACTAATTTTAGACTCAGCGAACATAATTTAATGATACAAAAATGAGAAAATCCCATAGCCATTTTATGAGTAATGATAGGTCAAGGAATCTAAGTTCAGCTAAAAAAAGTTAATCTGTCCATGAGGGTAATCAGAATAAATGTCTAAGCCAGCATCATAGTGTAAATGGGAAACTTGGATTTAATGTTGGAGAGTATTTTGATGATATTGAGCGGTAACTGAATAAAGAAAAAGTTTATTGTACCTGTTAGGAATCTTCAAAGACTAATTATAAGATAAATGCACTTAAGAGAGTATTGAGTCATGAGAAATTCTAAAATGGAGAGCATAGTTAAGACAAAGTCAAATGCATAAATCAATTAAAAAGTCTTTTTAAACCAGCTCTTAGACTAAATTATAATAAATTATCTAACGCTATTGATAAGCACTTGAAATAGGAGATTGAAATAGTAAGTAATGAAGACAATTTAAGGAGGAGTGCAATCAACTTTATATCAATGAAGGATATAAAAATGCTCGATTTGAGAAAGAACTCGATTTCTTAAAAGTAAATATCAGATGAGTAAATTAACTACAAAACATTTTAAGATAATAGGCCGAAGCATAAATATATGATAGATTTAAGTAAGATTATAGTATAATAAAAGCATCAATAATTATCCTAAATTACTGATCTTTCCTAAAATAGATCATAATTAGATATAAGTTAATAGATTAACTATGAATAAAAACTGAGTAACAGATCACCTCATTCATACAGATAATAAGCTTAAAATTCGATGAGAAGACCCAAGTCAATGAAAGATCTTGCTTTTTAAAATTATATCAAAAAAATTTAGTTAAAATAGCAAATTCGGAAGGATTTTTCAGTCAAGAATCTTTGATCTCAATAATAAAGATAAGATTTAGATTTAGAGGCAATCGAAAATAGAGATGTCAAAGGCAGAAAAATTCCGCTTAAAACTGATAAAAGTTATTAAGATGATCAATAGGAATAAATAGAACTAAAGAAGAAGGTTATCCTTACATAAATCTATAAAGAAAATGCCTTAAATTATACAAGATCAATTCAAGAAACTTAAAAGCAAACAGAATAGCAGACATAGTAAGTTTCACCAATGAAAAATAGATAATATAAGAATAACACAGATTAAGATAGATCACGTAATATCCAAAGCTAAAATTATTCATTTACTAAAATTGATGGTGATTATCTCAATAATAATTTGCTTAACAATAAGGCTTCTCGTTAAAATAATACAAACTTTGTTAAAAAGTTAGGAGTGAAATAGATAGCCATGAAATTTGAATAAGTTCAAGATTAAAAAGATTATTTCAACACGAATTAATCAGGATTTAGTAAGAACAAAGCGAAAATTAATTATGTTAATAGTTTAAAGAGAAAAAGAGAGCTTTTGAATAAAGAAAAAGAAAAGTAAAATTGGCCTGATTTTTATTCTATTATCAATCAACCATGATCAATCTATTTGGTAAAAATAAGTGATTTTAAGCAAATAATTTCATTAAAATTTAGTGAAATAAATTAAATCATAGTACTAAATAAAAAATTTATTAAAAATTACTTATCAGACGGGGTTTTGGGGTTTTGGGG